CCATTTCTCTTTAATCTCTTCCTTATTTCCATTGCTAGACATTACTGACCAATACAAATGATTTAGTAAACTTCGTGACCATTCTCCTACTAGTTCACAGTCCTTGGTTTTGGCTAGTTTCTCTATTTTCTTTTTAAACCCTATTGGCAGTATTTAAAGAAGTAAAAACAAACACACTCACCTTTAGCAACATGCCAAATGTCATATTTATGCAATGTATCCTTCATGTTTTCTTTTACCCACTTTGACACTTGACCGTGTCTGTCTGTAATAAGTAATTCAACTTCCAACCCTTTACTTGTAATGAACTCGATCCCCCTTACTAATCCTTCCTTTTCCATGTGACAACTATTTGGGACCTCATTACTCTATGAATGTACATGATATGTGATAACTACACAACACATATATGTACTTACCTGTACCAATTGAATATCAGTAATTACATTATTCTGCAATTCCAAAAATGTGTAAGACCCAAATTTTGCACAGTAGCCAGGGCTATCACACCTACCATCTCCACCCAAAATAAGCCTGTCCTTGTTCTTTTTGAAAGATGCAATTATGCTGTTTTGGTGTTCTATCCATGTTGTTTGTATTGCTTGATTTAAATAATTCCTTTGATACTTAAAATATGTGCTTTCATTGATGGTGGAGCAGTTCATAAGTTTGAAAAGGGTAATAGTTTTAGTTGGCAGCGACCCACTACAAAGAATGGCTGTTGAAAGTGCTAAGTTTCCAGCTGGAATACTATTAATGAGTGGTTGACTTTCCCAGGTATATTGGTATGAACATAAAGGACACAACATCTTGATTCGTAGGAAAGTACCAATTGACTCTGTTGATGTTTCTGTGGATGCACTACATGAAAAGCATTTTGTGAAAAGTGAGAGGAGAGCTCAAAGGAATACAATGAATTTCTTTTGAGTTATGGGATTGTCAGTCCAACTAAAAAGGTCATGCATTAACACTATAGATTACAAAGTTAATAAGAACCTTCTATTGTTATCATCATCAGAGTCACACTCATCAGTCTCATCAGTAATTGCACTATTGCCTTCATAAGAGGTGTCCATGTCATCTTCATCTGATACATCTGATTCCATTTCTTCACAGTCTTCATATTCATTGTTGGCATTGTCTGGGCATGGCTGCTGTGGTAAAATATTACATTGTATGGCAATATCTTTGTAAGTAGGTTTCACTTGTAGACCTAAATGTATAATACATTAATACATTTAGTTCATCAGTTGCAGTATACCTTTATTACTGCTACGAGGTTTTACTTGAATCTTTACATTTTTAGAGTCAGTTTCAGTCTGTGTAACCTTATCACATTCATTTTCAAAGTTATTGACATCTTCGTGTAGTCCTGAGTTTGAAGTGCTAGTACAGATATCTGATTGAGTAGTGGCATCTTCCTGTAGTTCCAAGTTTGGACTGGTAGTACCACAGACATCTGATATAATCTATATTGAATAGATATAGATCTAATGAAATTGATACAGACAATTACCCTTGAGTGTTCTCTCTTTTTATATGCAGTTCTTCTTGGTCTAATACTCTGACGCTGACCAATAGCTATAGTATTTTTTGGGAAAATAGTTGGCACAGCTCCAGGCTTAAGTAACTGTTTCCTCTTCAACCCCAATTTGCCTCAAATAATGTTTTACAAGATGAGAAAACTAGTAAAACATACCTGATACAATAGATAATGGTTGAAAACAATCTTGAGTAAAATGTTTACTACAAACACAAGAGTATGGAGAAGGATTATGCCAGTCTGCTCTGGTTGTTTTAATCTGTCTATTCCATGTAGACCTCATTTTTGGGTCTCTAGGGAATGTGAAGAGGCTTGTTCCATCCTTGTGAGTGCTACTGCAATTGGCAACTACACATCTTTTCCCCATAATTGCAAAATATCAACTTACAGGCAGCAGGTACCTTAATTCACGTGTAGAAATGTGTTCCCCCATGTACGTCATCGCGTGGCCACGCCCATAAACGGAAGTAAATTTAAGATTGCTGCAAAAGTGCAACTTTGGAGTCAAAATTCAGCATGAAATAAAGTGTTGTGTAATTTTTGACTATTTTTGCAAGTAACAGTACCTTATAGGAAATCATTTGCAAGTAAAAAAATTTGGGGTGTAGTTACCCTTTAAGGAGACAATTGTTTGCGGGTATTTAATTTAGCGAATTTTAGCGATTTTAAAAAAATCGCTAACTTAAGTCCGCGCTAACTTTAATTTCTTCATTAAAAGTGGGTGTGGTCACAATGAATAAAATGACGGCCGTCAGCAAGTCTGAACTTATTTGCAGCAAACGGTCTGCAAGATAATACTAAACTACTGTCCAAAGACTTCTCTAGCAGTTAGCCTAGGTTAACAAAGCAGATGACAATCTTCTTCGTTCAGTGACTGCTTCTAACTGTAAGCAAGATAACTTTAAGGCCACTCCAATAAGATTCCTTGTTTCCCATTACAGAGGCGGGGGTGATGCGGGCGGGCGGGCGGGTTCATTATTATTATTCATTATTAATAATAATTAATTTTTAAATCAATTTTTTATTATTCATTTTTAATGAATATTTAAACACTTGCAGTCTGCCAGTCTCAACTTATTGAGACTAAAATTACAAAATAGTAAAAGAAAGGTGCTAATAATTACAAAAAAAGAAAAACAAGGCTAAACACTTGAAAATTAGGAGAGAAAAAGCACGACTCTTGATGAA